GAGCATTTTCCTTCCAAGCCTCACCAGGAAGGTCTTTCAGGGCGTGACAAGCTTTTTGAAAACGGTCTTTTGCATGATATAGGGGCAGATGCGGGAACCACAGAACCATGTTTAATTTTTCCTGAACGGCCCTCTGAATACCAGAAAAGGAGGTCCCTAGTTCGATTCCTCGTGGTAACAAATTTTTGCATTTCGAGTTGACGTGCCAAAATTCGCGCAAAATGGAGTTAGAACCAACCAGAACAATCAGAACTCCATTTTGCGCGAATTTTGGAACGTCAACTCGAAATGCAAAAATTTGTCAAGAGGAATCGAACTAGGGACCCCCTTTTCTGGTATTCAGAGGGCCGTTCAGGAAAAATTAAACATGGTTCTGTGGTCCCCGCATCTGCCCCTATATCATGCAAAAAAGCTTGTCACGCCCTGAAAGACCTTCCTGGTTAGTCTCAGAGGGCGGCAAAGCGCATAGGAAGGACGCGCCATGGAGAGAACATACGAAAGAGGGTGGAGGACTTCCGATACCTTGGGAGTGATCTGGCAGCCGACGGTAGTGTGGATCAGGCGGTGAAGGCTCGGGTCAACGCTGCATGGATGAAATGGAGGAGAGTCCACTGGAATTCTCTGCGATCGAAGGCGCTCCAGAGTGGTCTTAAGGGGAAGGTGTACCGGGACAGTGAAAAGGCCTGCGGTGTTCTACGGAAGCGAACAAGAATAACGAAAGGCAGTTCACTCTACCGAGATAAGGATGCTGGGATGGGCCTCCGGCTGGACGCGACTGGACAGGGTCAGAGGAACGAGGATGTCAGAGCGGTCATGCAGACTGCCCCTGTCCAGCTGAAGGTACGGGAACAGCGTCTGCGATGGTATGGGCATGTGCTAAGGAGGCCACAGGACCATCCGATAAGAACAGCGATGGACTTCGAAGTACAAGGCAAGCGACCGCGAGGAGCCCCAAAGAAAAGGTGGAAAGACGTGATCAAGAAGGACCTAGGTGAGGTCGCGGCCACGGTAGAAGAACCGTGGACAGAGCAAAGGTATTTATATTGTGCTTGTATATTCGAAATGTTGTGTGGTATCACCCAAATTGATTCATCTAAATTTAGTCGCATTAGTTAACCTCTAGAACAAAGATATCACTGGAGAAAATTTCGTATGTGACTCCCACAACCACGAAAATGAAGAGTTTCACTTGTAGGGCAACAATTATTACTATCAAAGTCAATGTGCCGTTTGGTCTGCTTATATGTTCAATCCCTAGAGCAATGAAACGGTCATTGTGTTATCAAGCCACCATAATAAATTTAACGTCTTATTGTGACTACTTTTGCTTGCATTTTCCAGGCCTGCCTGAGCAGCGTCGTTCTGAGTAATGGTTTTAAATAGCTACGTGCTATAGGGATCGCTATTTAACTTCATACTCTATGGGAAGTGCCCTTCGAACATCGTGAGCCTCTATTTTTGAAACTATACAAGTGACGCTATCTTGTTTCTGTTAGCCCCCTCACAGATCTCGATTCTGACGACAAATCTGACGTTAAACTTCGCACATAAGCTCGAGGTCTTTGAGCTTTGATTTTTTTGAACCGTCACACTTACGTATAACCTTTTTAGATTTGACACTTTTGAATAAAAGAATGCTACGACATTCGAAAAATCTTGCACTTCACGTGAAACGCTGCAAAAGGCGACATTTCTGCGAAACGTTCTGCACATCCTGTCTCGAAAACTTACAAAGCTAACAGATGTTGCTAGCTCATAATACAAGCTATTCCAAGCGCTTGAAGTTTCATCTCAAGCTGGAACATCTTGAAGAATGGAATGAACTTCTCAACTTTATTCTCATGTTTTTTTTTTGTCCACACTGCAGAAGAAGAGGAGGAAGTGATGTACAGCAAGTGGTGTCGTTCAGATTCACATGCCAGGTTTCGGTCCTACTATATTGAAAGAAACATATTTCCCTATCCTAGAGCGGATATTGATTTTTTATTCATTTATTCATTTATTTAGCTATTGTTGACAGGTATGTTTCATTAAATTCCGCACAAATAAACAATGGTCAAGGGTAAGAGGTGTAGTTAATCAATTAACGCATATGTATATATACAGTAGTGGCCAGAAATTTATCAACCAACGGTTTTTTGACAATTTCTCCCCGCAAAATCGCTGAATCGCTCCCAAACTTGGCACAGGTATGTCGAATAAAATTAGAAACTTGTTCTTACAAATAGACCAATAAAGCTTATCTTGAAGACTGCAGTACTCGCAAGAAACTGAAAATTCCCTCCTTCCGCTTCTTAGGCCTTCAGCTCACGGTATGAATTTTTGCCTTTTTCTTCAGGATTTTTCTATTTTACTGCTTTGTATGGCATTTAGAATATGGTTAGGACGTTGGGAGCACACACCATGTCAATTGATGTGCGCAATGCCATTCTACGAGGAATTGAACAAGGAATGAAACAAACCGAACTAGCAAGACTTTTTCACGTTCATAAATCAACTATTTGCCATTTTCTGAAGAGATTCTCCGCAGATGGAGTGATTGCACCAGCGCCGATTCCAGGACGAAGCCGGATGACCTCACGACTTACCGACAGAAACATCCTCCGATTAAGTCGTGGCAATCCCAGGCTCACTTCCACCGACATCCAAAGGGAACTGGCCGTTGCCAGTGAACAAATTCCGTCGACAAGAACTATTCGGAGACGTTTACAAGCTGCCGGGCTAAATGGAAGGCGTCCTGCGAAGAAGCCGTTGATTTCGGAGAAGAATCGTGGTGCTCGTGTCAGGTGGGCACAGGAGCATATCGGTTGGACTCGCCAGCAATGGAATAATGTTCTATTTTCTGACGAATCCAAGTTCAACCTGATGGGAAGTGACGGGATCAAGTATATCAGACGTCCACTCGGCAGAAGATTCGATCCTTTGTATCAGCTGCCCACTGTGAAGCATGGTGGAGGGAACGTGATGATTTGGGGATGCTTCAGTGGTCATGGAATCGGACCTCTTCGCCAAATTCATGGAGATTTGGATAGATATGGATATGAAGATATCTTAGAAACAACTATGCGTCCATTTGCACTCCAGTCCATCGGCAGGGGATTCATTTTCCAGCAAGATAACGACCCCAAGCACACTTCCGGCCACATTCGCGACTGGTTCAAGATGCGCCATGTGCAAGTTCTTGACTGGCCAAGTCAGTCTCCGGATTTAAATCCGATTGAACATTTATGGAACGAACTGGAGCGCCGCATAAAAGGCAAAACAGCAAGGAATTCGGCCGAAAAATTTGCTCAGCTTGAAGAAGCCTGGAAAAGTATCCCACAGTCTTTCCTCGACACTTTGTTAGATTCGATGCCACGAAGATGTCAGGCTGTCATTGATGCTAAGGGGTTTGCAACAAAGTACTAGTTCTGCTGATCTGTTATTGTTGAGTTACATTGGTTTTTGAAGGTTGTTATCACTGTTCTGTTTGAATAAACTGACCACATGGTTTTTTGCTCAGTGCGATAAAATCGAAAAATCGTTAATTTCTTCGGTCCTGAGTAAATTTTATTACCGATTTTTTTACAGATGATGAGAAAGCACGAAAGAAATAACTGGTGCGAGTCAGGGAACGATCAAGTGATTTTCTAGAAGAGAAATCTCGAAAAAACCGTTTGTTCATAAACTTCTGGCCACTACTGGTAACGTATTTCTTCTATCATTTTAAACTGACAGAAAAAAATTCACGGCTAAAGGTATCCGAGTTCAAGAAAATGTTGTGAGATGTGTTTATATGTGAGATACATACATGCAGAGCTCAGCTCAGACGTTATCACGGCGTATTCTCGATGGACTTCAGCGAAACTGAGAAAGGTCTAACACATTCAATAGTGAGGTGGTTAATGGAGCACCTCATGCTGATATTCCATGGGTCCAGTTCGCTAAAGCCTGCCGTGTGATGCGCGCGATAGCGGGCGGAGCAAAACTGGTTGTAATATGACAGTGTAGTATGAGTTTATTACATTTGAAAAGGCTCACGTGAACAGCGATAGCACAGCGTAATAGCACAGCGTAAATTTTCAAACAAAAGCAGACACACAATCAATTGGATAACAGCAGGGATGAAATTGCTTCCGGGTCACTTTTCGAGAACATCGCAAACCCCCATCACTTAGCAGTAACGCTATCACCCGGCATTTAAATTGTGCCAGCTATAGGGCGACAGCTACATTTTTCATCGATTCCTCGCTCCCAGCTGTGAGGCGAAGTTCCTCGCTCGTACATTAGTCATAACATGTCTCATTGAGATCTTCATGACGTTTCCCCTACTTAAAACATGTCAACTTGAAGACATTCGAAAAACCGAAACCGCACCAATGAGCAGAACCTAGACCAAAACCCTGCACCTGAATTCCAGATGTCAGCTCCAGGAAGTGACCCCATGGTGGTGCCTCCTCTAAAGCCTGGAATGCGGGAAACCAGATTCGGGTAAATAGTTTACGAATGAATTGCTCTGAACCTTTCGAGGGCATGAACGTGTTAACGTTTGGAAGGATTCAATAATGTGTGCTAGTCTACAAGAGGGAGAGCCGTACATAAAAGTTGTACTCGCGTAGCAATGCTTCCTTATTAGCTGTATATAGTCCTTTCGAAAATTTGAAATGCGTACAAATGGGCCATTTCAACCCTTTTACCAGATGTGTTACAAAAAGTCTAATAGACTATTTTTTAAAGATCCCAGACTTAGAACTCAGTTGCAGGTGTACTGTACGCAACAGCCTCTCAGACCAATTCACATTAAGGCATTAGCATATTGGTGTTCTTGAAGGTCAACTGATATACAATATTTCTTCAAGTCATCAGCGTATGCCTTGGCTGTTACACCCCGGAACTCGATCTCGATCCAGTATCGATTAGTGTCACCACCACAAGGTGGCGAAAAATTACATGCGCGTGAGACTTCGCTCCTTTTTAAATACTGCATGAAAAATTTTTCTATCTTTGATTCTTCTCAAATTGTTTGCCTATTTCTCAAAATGTTTGCCTATTGCTTATTGATTTGCAATAGAAAACATTTGTTTTCCAAGTTCTGACAAAGACCTGCTCAAGTTGGAACGCGATTGCGCGGCAAGCAACAGCTGGACTGAAAGCTCAACAATTCCTTCGAGGCTCACAGTTCCTCTGAGAGCGCCAGAAACCTGGAAAACAATAGAAAGAGGAAGAGCAGGTTCCACCTAGACCCGTAAGAGAATGAGAGCGGAGTAACAGCACCTGATTGGAGCAGGGAATTTTTAAGAAGAGGAATGATCAAAAGCTGACCTGAGTTTGAATAAGGGTTGCAGGACGAAACTTATCGAGAGTGTTCGAGTGATAGCAAAAATAAGGTGCATTGGACGTTATCATATATGCGTCGATGCGAAACTGATTTATGAAGTGCATTTCAAATGGCTAGAGAACTTCTTCCCCCTTAAGTGTGTTTCCTCATTTTTTATTCTGCATAATTATGCACACCTACAAGTGTATTGATAAATAAATAAATAAATGAATAAATAAAACGGAAGATTCCCATTGTTCCAGAAAAGCACATGGAAGGAAAAAATCAATTTTGCTAGGTGTGGGCGATTCTAGGAGACCCGGTGGATCCTCAATGAAATCACCGCTCAAGCGGCCCCTAAAGCACCGGATTACTTTAACCTTTACGCAAGCTCTTCAGTAACATTCTGAATGGAGGTGGCCGTAAGAAATTCTTCCTCGGAACATGATGGTGAGGCTAATCAGTGCTGCGCAATCCTCACCAACGTTTTAATCGTAAAGTGTGGAAACTCAAGAAATGATTCATCAAGCAAGAGATCCCCACAGAACTTGCGATAAGCCAGAAGTTCATTAATAATTCTGTACATGTAGTTGCTTTCTAACGAGGGGAGGTCGTTCAGGGCGTGGAGCGCTTTTCTGAAAACGGTTTTTTGCATGAAATAGGGGCAGGTGCAGTGAACATAGATCTACTGTGGTCCATTTCCGCTAAATGGCCCACTGAATGCCAAAAAAGGGTGGGAAAGTGGTCCTTGGTTCGATTCCCCGCGGTGACAAAATTTTTGCACTGTGATTTGGCGCCACAAAATTGGCACCGAAGAACGCCAACACCAGCAATTGATGTCATAATTACAATTAGGCTTACAAAAACCCTTACAAGTGGGCTTTTAAAAAACTGGTGAGAGAAAGTTGTGACGCAAAAACTTCACCAAGGTGCCGTCGAAGAACGTCATAGGGGCCCGAAATGATGTCGGAGCTACAAACGAATGTTGTATTCATAATCAGGGCACCTGATAACCCTTCTAGTCGATGTTTCTAAGAAAATCAAGATTTTGGCCCGACTTCGAAAATTTGCTAGATGAATAAGTAAACTCTGTGGCAAGTAAAGCTCGACGATGAACTTCTTGGAAATGACATCATCTAGATAGTCCTCAAAAAAGATGAGAGATGCTCCTGCCGAATAGACTATAGCAGACAAGCAAGCTGGTGTTGGTCGGAGGGTCACCCACAGTGCAGTAGTTTTCTGCCAGTTTTCCGTGCGGAGCTCGCCTCCGAGCGAGTGGGAATACTTGAAGATTTACTTATGTCAAGTTTTCGAAGTTAGGCCAAAGATGCCAAAGATGATTTTCTTCGAAACGTTGGCACCAGAGGTAAATTGGTGCTCTTGTCACGAATGTGGCATTGTTTTTTGGAGCCGCCGCTATCCGGCGAAATTCCAACGGTACAACTTTTTTTTGCCTGCTTTCGGTGAAGACTTACCTAATCTGGGTTATCAATAGTTCTGGTCTTGAATAACACATCCATTTTGGCACCTGTGCTATTTGGAGAAAACCGTGAAGTGCCTACAAAAAATGCAAAAAGCCCGACGCCTCGGGGATCCGAACCACCAACCCAGACCAAGCGTGCCAATCGAAATCCCCATCGCTAACCACTACACCACCGACGCTGCTGGAGGATGTTGGCCAAATGCTCTTATGGAACTTCCACACGCTCTTTAGTACACAGCATGACACCACCACGACAACTTTCCAATTTTTTTGATCCAAATT